TGCTGAACCATTGGTTAGGGACCAACGTAAAGGCAAGGATCCAATGGATGCAACTACTCAGACAAACACCCCCTCAGTTCCGAAATTAATGGCAGACTCTTTCGCAGCCGCGCAGACACAAGCATAGAGAGGAGCTACCACCCGTACCCCTGCTGAGACAGAGGTCACGGCGAAGAAGAGAGAAGAGCCTTCCACTGCTCCTGCTCTAAGCACAGACCTAAGTGAGTGGGATATCCCTCTCAGCCAAATGGTTGGCGAAACAACATCAAATCCTTCAGGGCAGCTCTACCAAGTAAGCCTTCGCTTTACATATTTACAGCATCTGAATTTGCATTCACGCCCGACTGATCACTTACTTTTGTGCAGAGAAAAAGAAGGAGATTACTCCTTGCTGCTGCTGATGATGACGATGCTTCCACTTCTCCTCAACACATTGTCCCTTCTGTCTCTAGCCCTCAACCATCACCATCCAACCCCTCCAATTCCCAAACGTCAAACAAAGAATCTCAGAGGATTGAATTTGACATTTCAATCAACAGCCAATCCTCTCCAACAGATGACAACACAAAATCCCCTCAACCAGAAGTTCACCACAACCAAGGTAAATAGAAATACAAATGTTACTGTTCGTTTGGGAAAAAAAAACTTCTCTTTAAGTAACTGGTATTGTTCTCCAATTTACAGGGATGGACATAATAGCTACCTTGCTGCCACATGATATGTGTTATGACAGCTGAAAATTTAACGCAAATTCTCCCAACTTGTGTGCTGCATAGATGGACAAGGGCTGCAAGCAAGGATGGCCAGTAATGGCCTCAACCCTCAATTGATAGCACTACAACACAGACGGCCCGGTATGGGATATTGTGTTCTTCCTACAACGAAATGTGTTTCTATGCCTCGCAATCAACGGAAGGTTTCAAGGATGCTAGGGATGCGTGTCTTCCGATGACGAGCCGGATGAAGGGGTTATATGAGAGGAATTTGAATGGTGGGAATGGAGACAAAGGGAAACATTCATTCCGTCGACAATTTGGAGTAGAAGATCCTGATGTTGTGAAGACAAAAGGGAACCCAGGACGGGCCTCGTCCAACTGTCGAAGACCAAGAAAATGTGGAAATTGCAAATGCATTGGGCACACAAAGCGAACGTGTCCTAAGGTTCGGTTTAGCCGAACAGTGGGTACTAACTTAGATGCATATACACCCCACATAACTGACCGTGAGTACAATGCGGAGTCATTGCCCGTTCGCTGCAAAACTGGGTTGGTGGATCCAAGTACACCGCACATTAAGCAACGGCGACTATTTTTCGATGATTCTCCTGATTCCAAGCAGCCTATGGGCCAATACGGTAGTATTGAAGCAGCAGTGTGGAAAAATGATTCGAACACAATTGATGAGGTGAATCAGGTAATTGTATAATTTGTATGATTTACTTATTCCCTTAGCTATTGAAAACACATGGAAATAATGTATGTAGTTTTCATTTTGCAAGGATTGCTGTACGTAACGTGTAAATAATTGGTTATGTACAATGCCAGGAAATGGCACAACGTTACTTATGTACAAGGCCACGAGTTGTAAATTTCCCATATTGTTTAGAGTGATGTTGTCATTTGTGTTTGCAGTGACTTGTCATTTTCAAAACTAATTGAAGGTGAGGTGAGATATACATGGGTTGTCTGTGTGTTGTTTTGGGTGGTAAATTGGCTTATGTCTGTATTCCAAGATTCCTATTGCGGGTTGCTTGTTTCTATTCCATATTTGGTTTGATCTAACCGAAGGGTTTTTTGCGGTGTGGTTTATCAACTAACTATGTGTTTCGCTTCGTATTGATTTGTTATGACTTGTGTCGGTAAATTAGTAATATATTTCGAGTAAAATACGAATTTGTCCAAGTGGGTTTGCAAAATTACATACCAGCACATGCATTTTGTATATAATCCAAGTGGCAGTTAATTTTGGGTGTTACTTGGAGAAAGTAACCCAACGAACTCGTTACTTTATCTCCATGCCGATCGGTATATGAATTACGAGTTACGAACAGGAGTTGTGAAATTATTTAATGTTTACTATTGAAGTAGGATTTATTGTTAATAAAATTATGGTGGGCCTATATGGACAGCAACGAAGCAGTAATTTAAAGTTGACAAGTTCAAGAAGAAAATCAAGCAATTGTGGTATTGGTTCAAATGCCTGAAATGGATGAAGACTTCTTTCGATGAACTGATGGTAACAAAGTAGAAAGTAACAAAGTAGAGAGTAGAAAGTAAAAAGTAGAGAGTAAGTTGTTGTGTTGTTTGTAACAAAGTAGAAAGTAGAAAGGAAAAAACTACACAGAAGTTACAATGTAGAAAGTAAGTTGCGTTGTTGTTCGTGTCCTCTCTCTCTACAAACATTCTGCCCTTTATAGCTATAAAATTCCCACGACCCCATGATCTGCCAATTCTGCAACTGCTTCTGTGCAACTTCTGTAACTGCACAGTCATTTCCGTGTATTGAAACCACATAAAAGCTTCACTTGTACCTGTCGAAGTGCATATAATTGAAGTTACCACCTGTGCCCAGGTCCTTTTAGCCTTTCCTCGACAGATACAGACTCCCAATTCGTTCATGTTTCCTGTTGGAGGGTGGCCACTAAATCCATGAGCACTGCCAGTAACTGCTCCAGCGTGTAAGTCAGGTGGCATGCAAGATTCAATGTTAGTTGAATGGAGCAGCTGTTGGGAGGATGTGGGAAAAATAGGTGCAAAGAGGAATTTTTAATCTAATATCCAATCAGAATGTAGGTGAAAATATGAGTGAACTTTTTTTTAAAAAAAAGTAGTTCCCATTTTTTGGATTATAAACCCGAGATGTATATTTTGTTTTTGATATAAATAAGTTGTGTATTTTCGTTACGTAAAATGTAGGACAACAATTGTGTTTAAGTCATTACAATACAGAAAAAGGTTATTTCAAACGTATTTTCAAGTTTACCGACATTGAATATATTTTGATTAAATTACAGGGAAAATTCAATATTTGGCAGAGTTTGATGATTCATAGTCAGGGGCAGTAACAGTGAGTGGCCAAGTGTTGCGGTTCATTGGCCCAGTTTGCAAGGATTGTGGTTGTGTTTAGTGGACAATATTCTGTCGATTTTTGTCTCATAATGATGAGGGACATGCCCCACAATGGTGAAAAGGAAGGTCGACAGGGAAGGGTCAATATTTAGCAGAGTGGACTTGATGATTTGAAGTCAGGGGGCAGTTACAGTGGCAGTTATGGTGTAGACGTGTGGGATCATGCAATGATGGGCCACAAAAACAGTATACGGATATCAATACTAAACCTCCACTTCTATCTGTCGAGCTCCCTTTTCTTGTGTTTATTTCATGGCCACCAACTGTTTTAAACTTCTGTCGACAGAGCAAGGCTCCTGCTTTGTCTCATGCTTCCTCCTGAAAGTGTGCCCGCTAACTCCATGACTGGTGGTAAAAACTTCCCCTATCACTTCTAGGTGACCCACATGCAGAGAGCCAACTTTCAGGTCATGGACATTCCTTCAGACTTGGCCACATGCCCTCGATTAAGTGGACCATCTGTCAACAGAGACTGGCAAAACTTGGTCCAAACAATGGCCCCCATGTTCAAATGTTTAAGTTAAATATTGCGGAAGTGATTGAGACCCCCTCCAATCACCGCCTGCACCACCACCCCCGCCCCACACACACACGTGGGGGCTGCTGATTGGAGAAGGAAAAAAAAATAAGAAATTGAAAAAAAATAAAAAAAAGTGGCCGATCAGAGAGAGAGGGGGTCATGGGGGTCCAAGTCATATGATATTTAACTTTAACGAGGGGGCCATTGTTTGGGCCCAATAGCAAATTTTTTAATACGGGCCCAAAACAAGCATAAAGTACAGCCCAATATAAGAGCTTTTAAATATACTGGCCCCATCATAAGCTATAAAAGACCCACCCTTTCAACTTCAAACCACTTCATTTCCCTCTGATTCGAACTCCCCAGACTGTACTCCTTCTTCTCAACCATTGCCGTTCAAAACCAGAGCACCACAAAACCCTAAGCCATAGCGCCGAAAAAATCTCAACCATCTCCATCTGAGGAGAACGATGAAGACCTACTCCGCTTCCCAGACCCTATCAGAGCACTTATCACTTCTCTAAAATTTGCTGCAACCCTGTTGCCCAGCACAAGCTCTGTCGCTAAGGCTACTCTAGGCCCTACCTTCGCGTCTTACTTCCCAGACGAGCTAGCTCCATACTATCCCCTTGGTAATGGTGAGAACCTTCTTCTCAACCAAGCTGGACTCAAGTGGACTAACTAGAATGTCAGCAAAAACCCACTCAGAGGGTGGAGGTCACCAGACTCTGATTGGCGAAGCTGGGCCAGGAGAATTGAAGGTCACGACGCTGAAGTATGGAAGCACCAGGGCATTGCTGAAGCAATTAGACTGTCGACTAAAATTTATGACGTGGAGAAAGGGCGGATTGCTGCTGCTGCATGCTTTTGGTCGCATTCTAGTAACTCCCTACTCCTCAATTTTGGTATGATTTCCCCTACCATCTTAGATGTAGCTCACTTGACTGGTCTCCCAATCTTGGGCAATCCAATTCATGCTCTCCTTGAGCCTCCAAAAGTGACATTTACTTTAAACACTGACATGTGCTATACAGATTTTGCCAAAAAATACCAAGGCAAGCCTGGTTCCCTTGTCGATGACAAAGAAAGAACTGCTTTTTACTTACTTTGGCTTTGTGAGTTTCTTTTTTGTGTCCCTGGGTACAAGATCACGAAAGAATACCTCCCCCTTGCCTTGTGTATGCAAGACGGCCAACTTATGGCTTTAGCCCCTTATCTTCTTGCCACCCTTTACAAGGCCCTATTTTCCTTTGTCGACAAGAAGATTTCTGGCAACTGTGGTGGCCCCTTCTGGCTCTTCCAGGCCTGGTTGTATGCCTATTTCCCTGAGGCACGACCCCCACCACCTAACACCTTGAAACCTGTTTGCCACTCCTATGCTGAGCAACTGCTCACTTATAACAGCCATTCAAAACTCACTTTCACAAATCATCTTACCATGTTTTACAACCTTCCTTCAAAAAGGTTATTTCAAACGTATTTTCAAGTTTACCGACATTGAATATATTTTGATTAAATTACAGGGAAAATTCAATATTTGGCAGAGTTTGATGATTCATAGTCAGGGGCAGTAACTGTGAGTGGCCAAGTGTTGCGGTTCATTGGCCCAGTTTGCAAGGATTGTGGTTTTGTTTAGTGCACAATATTCTGTCGATTTTTGTCTCATAATGATGAGGGATATGCCCCCCAATGGTGAAAAGGAAGGTCGACAGGGAAGGGTCAATATTTGGCAGAGTGAACTTGAAGATTCGAAGTCAGGGGGCAGTTACAGCGGCAGTTCTGGTGTAGACGTGTGGGATCATGCAATGATGGGCCACAAAAACAGTATACGGATATCAATACTAAACCTCCACTTCTATCTGTCGAGCTCCCTTTTCTTGTGTTTATTTCATGGCCACCAACTGTTTTAAACTTCTGTCGACAGATAAAGGCTCCTGCTTTGGCTCATGCTTCCTCCTGAAAGTGTGCCTGCTAACTCCATGACTGGTGGTAAAAACTTCCCCTATCACTTCTAGGTGACCCACATGCAGAGAGCCCACTTTCAGGTCGTGGACATTCCTTCAGACTTGGCCACATGCCCTCGATTAAGTGGACCATCTGTCGACAGAGACTGGCAAAACTTGGTGCAAACAATGGCCCCCATGTTCAAGTTAAATATTGCGGAAGTGATTGAGACCTCCTCTAATCACCACCTGCACCACCACCCCCCCCAACACACACACACACACACGTGGGGGCTGCTGATTGGAGAAGGAAAAAAAATAAGAAATTGAAAAAAAATAAAAAAAAAGTGGCCAATCAGAGAGAGAGGGGGTCATGGGGGTCCAAGTCATATGATATTTAACTTGAACGAGGGGGCCATTGTTTGGGCCCAATGGCAAATTTTTTAATACGGGCCCAAAACAAGCATAAAGTACAGCCCAATATAAGAGCTTTTAAATATAGTGGCCCCATCATAAGCTATAAAAGACCCACCCTTTCAACTTCAAACCACTTCATTTCCCTCTGATTCGAACTCCCCAGACTGTACTCCTTCTTCTCAACCATTGCCGTTCAAAACCAGAGCACCACAAAACCCTAAGCCATGGCGCCGAAAAAATCTCAACCATCTCAGTCTGAGGAGAACAATGAAGACCTAATCCGCTTCCCAGACCCTATCAGAGCACTTATCGCTCCTCTAAAATTTGCTACAACCCTGTTGCCCAGCACAAGCTCTGTCGCTAAGGCTACTCTAGGCCCTACCTTCGCGTCTTACTTCCCAGACGAGCTAGGTCCATACTATCCCCTTGGTAATGGTGAGAACCTTCTTCTCAACCAAGCTAGACTCAAGTGGACTAACTAGAATGTCAGCAAAAACCCACTCAGAGGGTGGAGGTCACCAGACTCTGATTGGCGAAGCTGGGCCAGGAGAATTGAAGGTCACGACGCCGAAGTATGGAAGCACCAGGGCATTGCTGAAGCAATTAGACTGTCGACTAAAATTTATGACGTGGAGAAAGGGCTGATTGCTGCTGCTGCATGCTTTTGGTCGCAGTCTAGTAACTCCCTACTCCTCAATTTTGGTATGATTTCCCCTACCATCTTAGATGTAGCTCACTTGACTGGTCTGCCAATCTTGGGCAATCCAATTCATGCTCTCCTTGAGCCTCCAAAAGTGACATTTACTTTAAACACTGACATGTGCTATACAGAATTTGCCAAAAAATACCAAGGCAAGCGTGGTTCCCCTGTCGATGACAAAGAAAGAACTGCTTTTTACTTACTTTGGCTTTGTGAGTTTCTTTTTTGTGTCCCTGGGTACAAGATCACGAAAGAATACCTCCCCCTTCTTGCTCGAAGGATATTCAAACCAATAAGGATTTCCTAAACGAAGCCCACACCATATCTACTTCACTCAAACTCAGCCAGCAAACCTCTGCAGCCATTCTTCAGCAACACTCAGCACTTGAACTTGAGGAAGCCAAACTCATGACAGAACTTGCCTCTGTCCAGCAAAGAAAGGCTCATCTGCAGCAGCAACATGACCAGCTTAATCAAGAAGCAAGGATGATGCTGTCCCAAATTAGACATCGTTCTGCATCCATTCAGACAACTAAAGCTGAGTTGGACCAAGCCCAAGCCATGCTGGCAGATGCTCAATCAGAGTGGGGTGTTCTAGCCGTTCTGTTCCCCAAATCCTAGGCTAGTTTATATATGTATTCTTTTGTATTGCACACCTAGGAATGATTTGGAAAGCTAGGAATGATTGCCTTTTTAATGATAAGATTGTTGATGGACCTGAATTGGCTGAGATGGTGAAAGTGAGGGTTTCACTTTGCTGTAAGCAAAGTTATAGAGGCCTATAGTATTCAGTGGACGACATATATTGTATTCTGGATAGTATCAAAGTCTGATTTAGGGGGTGGTGTTTGGTGTTTTTTGCTGCAAGGGTGCAGGAGTTTGGCCAATCTGTGGTATGCAGGATTTTGGTCAGTCTGTGGTATTACCATATCTTCTTGGTGGCTACTTTTGCTCTGCTGTGCTTCAATGTTGCTATGCTTTGCCTTATTTTTGGCTTGTTGCTCTGGCTTAGTTTATGGGGTCAAGCATGCTCATTTCTGGTTGCTGCTCTGCTGTGCTTCAAATCTGCTCTGCTATATATGTACTCTGCTGCTGCTATATGGGATCAACGAATAGGCTTAAGTCTGCTGCTGCATATTGGCCTTTTTGCAATTGTTTGAATGATGTTTTGGTGTGCTGTATTGGAAGTCTGCTGCTGGATTGGGGAAAGTTATTGGAGGTCTGCTGCTGGCCTTGTTGTAATTGTTGGTCTGCTGCTGTACTAATTTTTTTTTTTTGGAGGTTGAAGGATCAGGCTCAAGTCTCAATGGGGGTTGAAGGTTCAGGCTCAAGTCTCAATGGTGGCTGTATGGTCTGAAGTTTGTTCATGCTGCCTTGGAGTTTCATCTGGTTGCCCTGTTATGTGGTTTTGTGAGGATGGGCTTGGAGTTACATTGTTATTGTTTTCCTTCTGTTTTTGTTTCTCTTCGTTGGTCTCCAACCTCCTCTTTGTTGATGTATCATTGACACCTTGTATGTGCTTTTTCATCAATACAGTTTTTTGTTTTGCTGAACAAAACAAAAATTGAATATCAATACTCTGTGTTTTTAATGGTCTGTTGTATGGTTGTTTTTATTTTTTGTGCAATTTTTCAGCGTTTGTGCATTGTTATGAAGTAATCAATTCCCCTTCAAAGTGCATTATAGTCACCGCTATTTGTTTATTCCGTGGGCTTTTTTTTGCTTTGTTTTGGACAAAATCATGGCATTCAAAAAAATCGAACAAACATAATTCATGTGGTAAAAGCGAACAAACATTACTACTTTCAACTTGCATTGTTTGTTGGACAAATATCACATTGCACTGGACAAACATTACTATAGTCATTTGGGAAAATATGACATTGCATTGTTTGTTCTATACTGTACCCATAACATTGGAATTATGTGTATCACATTACGTACAGGCCACGATAAAAGCAAACAAACATTACTACTTTCCCTCGTTTGTTCGAGTCCCAAACATTAGAATTATGTGTACAATCAATACACGTGGGAAATTAGTATTATCACAGCTGCGACCTAAAAAGTTGTCACGACAAGCTGATGCAGTAATCCAGTTGTGGTTGGGCATCGAAATTACACTCGTACTGGCAGGCCATGATAAAATCGCTGCCCTATTTGTTGTAATTGCAATCAATCACATGCACGAACGATACTCACCCATCTTTGTATTGTTCACATCCATAACGAAGTCAAGCACCAACTTCCGGCGCACAGAAGGATGAAACTATGTACAGAAAGCGAATAACATAAATCAGGTACAGTTACAGCAGTAGGGAATAAACGGATTTATTTCGCAATTAGAAATTAAGCGGTACAATGTACCTTGTGTGGACCGCTGGGTATATCAGGCCGCTGCATGTACTTCATCACAAACATCCCACAGTCGAAAGTGCTACAAATGAAATGTAACATTCAGTTTCTCGTAAAATATAATATTACCTTCTGACATGCATCAAGCACCCCAGTATATCTGTAATGTCCAAAATATGATTTGACGATATTTTCATGGTTCAGAGGTTGAGTTTTTTGATTTAGTATCAAAGTTTGCATGTTTAGTGTGTAAAGTTCAGTCAGCCAAAGTTTTCTGAAAATATGTCTTCTGCAATACACAACCGACCTAAAACACTTACTTACCGACAAATATACTGGAAAGAACCGCGCAGTATGCCTTCCGTCTTTGTGTACTTGCCGCTGTCTGTTAGTCAATTGAACCGCGACCAAGTTGATTGGCTGGAACATTGTAACAGACCAGGCAACTTGCGAAATAAGGTTTGCCATTTGTTTAAATGTAATACGAAATAACAATGTCCCTACATGGATATGTCCATCATGCAAATATAGTGGAAATAACATTGTCAGATGCCACGACTTACAGTGTCGGATAGCCATGCCCCTGGTTTCAGCGTGCGCATGTCACGTCGCGTAGCACATTCGCAAGGCATTTCATGCAGATTCATAGACACGACAATGTCCCTACATAAAACGTATACATCAATCAGTAAGAAGCAACCTACAGCCTAGTAAAACTTAAACGTATCTGGCTTAACTCTACAACATAAGATTAGTTTTTTTTGTTGTACAACTATGGCAGATATTCCTGATTCTACTAGGCTCCAATCCAATGAAGATTAGTTTTAAGTTTTTAAAAAACAAAATGAAAAGAAAAAGTTTTAGATATTACAACTCATGACATGTCCAATAGTATTTGCTAAAATAATATGTGAAAATTGAAATGCTCATTTACAAGTCAGCAAGTTAAAACAAAAGAAACACGTTTTTTACAAACTGGAGCCAACAATATCCCAAAATGATCAAAATGGAAAATGTAAGTAGAGTAGAAGAAAATAGCTAGGGAAAATTGCACTTCATTATAAGTTCTAAAAAAAATTTGCAAATCATTGGTAAAATGTAAGCAGAGTAGAAGAAAATAGGTAGGGAAAATTGCACTTCATTATAAGTTCTCAAAAAAATTTGCAAATCATTGGTAAACTTTATTAAGTTTCATAATTAAAATTATAAAGGTTTCCATGAATGTGTAAATATTTTTGTGAAAATATCAGTGGTTTGCAATTTTCCCAATAGGTACATGTGTGCAGGATAAGACCAAAAGAAGAAAACTTCTGATAGGAAATTTAGCCACTGATCTTTCCGTAGCCCACTGCATTAAATTCAAAGAAAATCCTGCATACGACATGGATAAACCCATCAAAATCATAGAGAATGAAAAATTAAAGAACTGATACCTACAAGAATCAAATAAACATAGCACGACACATGAAAATTGTGGAATTCAAACTTATTTCACAAATACTACGGAACAGGTTAATTGCGAGTACTAAACTCATCCGTACCTTTCATTGTTTCTGTCGTCAAGTACAGAGTCAACAACTTAGTCTTGGGCCGCTGATAAAACCTCTCTGCTCTCCATTGTTATCAAGTCCTTCTATCAATATAAACAATCAAGTAACATCAACTCCTCCTATTAATATAAACAATTAACTAACTCACCACTGTTCAGAAATTGAATTTGCAAAGTACATAACACATCCTTATGCATCTAAAATTGGTGAAGCGATGTCTAACCTCTGAACGGAACCGCTTGTCCAACCTGTGCAGTTTAGACAGGAGTTTGTCCGAAATCTGTAAGACAATTGTACAACATTTGTTACTGCAAACTTGCACTAGAATGACAAATATTAAAATACAACACAAATAATGGTTCTATTATGATCAGTAATGCTGTCGGCATCAATTGGTAATGAAACATACAAAAGGTGAAGTGATGTGGCGACTTGGGAATTTTTCGGCAGTAAGTCAAGTACTTATTTTGCTATCGTTGCACGAATGCATATCCCCTACGTCTGTTGCTTCAACACCTCTTCCTCTTCCTCTTCCTCTTCCCTTTCCTGTGCCTGTTACAATTTGTCCCGCTCTCAATGTTTGGGCAACCTTACCAGCAGAAGGATGTACATTGTCTGCTTCTCCTCGCATTGGTGGCAAGGTTTGCAAATCATCAAACGAAGATAAACTCTGTTTTGCAACGTTCTTCATGGACAGAAACTGAACTGAAAGAGATTTGCTTTCTTCGCTTGCGTATGTTTCCTCCAACACAAGGCCACGGTTGTTGTGCATGTCCCCAACTTCTTGGACGGTACGCAACTGTCCAACGTGCATATCAATTATCTCATTGGACAACATTCCATTCACATAATTGTCCTCCCAATCCACCCCCTGTAAATCTTGAACATTACCCTCATTTGGGCTACCATAATAATTTGGGAAGACCACGCCGCCATCATGCAACTCGACTCCCATGGTAGGGTCAACACCCTTTTCCTCTGAGCGAGCCAATTGTGCTATTTCCGATAAACCTGCCAGCACTTGCTGCATCATTTGCCTCATTTCAGCAATATGTGCCTGTTCAGTAAACGGTTGTTTCCCAGACAATATAGCTGCAACCAGTTCGTTCAGCATTCCTTTCAGTTCACCAATGCTGGAGGATATGTTAATGTTACAATTTCTTTCAGTCGACTCCACCTAATCACACAAACACATACATTAACCTGGTACGATATTTCATCTTCAAGTAACCTCTGTGAACTGTGTGAAGCATGTGTACTGATTGCTTTTGCTTACCTTTGCATTGTGAACAGCTTCCTTCCCTCGGAAATTGAGCAACATCTCCCTTATTTCCGCATTGCTGTGAAGCACTTGCTTCATGGTTTCCTTCAGTTCACCAATGTCGGTCTCAACCTTGCTCAAACGAACATCATCAATCCGTGGTTTCTATTTGTTATTGACATGGTGTGTGTCAATTGCGTCATCAATGTCGTTGCTTTCCGCTTTTGTTGGATGAAACTCCACCTAACATAGTTGTCAAATCGGGATTCAAATCATAAATGAAAATGGTAATGCACTGAATCGTTAATCGATCTTAACTGTGAATCATAAAGTTTCTGTCTGCTTTCTTAAGTTGCACACAACATATGTGTATACACTTTACGTATTAAATATATCTAATAAAAATTAATTACTCCATTCGTCTGAAATGGAAAAAAATTTTGTTGTAAATGATGCTCATCTGGTGTGGATAAAAACTTCACAGTCGATCCCATGTTTACCACTTTACCTTTTCCCAATTACATAAACAAAGAGAAACTTTCAATTACAAACTAACTAACAATAACTGAACGACAGTGTTTTGACCTTTTTACAAAGTTAAAAAACCAAAATCTTCAAGCTTTTCAAAAAATCTGACTTCAGGGCTTAACGAAAATTCATTTCGTAACGGAAGTAGTACATAAAATTGAATTTGTAAGGCTACAACATCGTCCACATGGAAACTTCATGTTTTCCCCCCAAAAGTTCGAGTATTTCAGAGTAAATAGGTAGGGACAAACTGAAAATATGACGTACGCTAAGGAATGGGTCACTGTTTGTCGCTGCTTGTCACCTAGTCATAGGAACACAAATTCTGTCTGTCACCGTTATCCATAACACAGGTGGGGCAATGCTGTCAAATGTGCAAAACGAATGGGTTGATTACCTCATGTTGCTGCAACATTTGCTTCCTTCCCATAAGTTGCCTCGTCTCCCGTATTTCGGCATCACCCCAATCATTTAGCTGAGGGATGGAGCATGTAGTAGCCGACGTACTCTTGCAGGGAGGGGCAAAACGATCCAAGTAAAATAGCTGCATTGTAAGGGGGAAAAGATATTTACTATACACTTCCGAGCAAACTAATCCGTATTCGCTAACAATGCATACAACTTACAACACAATCATATGTATGTGTTTATGTGCCTCGATGGCAGAATCCCCATGCAGCTTTCCGGTTAAAAAGATAAGCTTTTCGTGGTTACAAAAAATGTGGGCCGTACAGGTATATTTGTCATGCTGTTCAATAACAGGTAAGTTTGTATTTCGCAAGGACTGCCATTTTATTGAACCATATGCACAGCAATGGATGAAATATGTAATCGGCATGGTACAAACAAACAACGGTCGATTACGTTACCATTAGAAGGAAAACACATCTAGTTGCCTCGCGCTGAACTTTCATCTTATACTTCCGAACACCTTTGACAAGGAATTGTAGTGTCACCTTTGCCCAATTACATGCCCCCATACCGGTCACGTCCTTCACGGCATGAACGAACGACAGGCTCAACGCGGTCATTGTGGTAGGACACAACATGGCCCCCAACACGTACAGCGCAAACTTCCGCCGAAACTCGTCATCCGCACCATCACTCTCAGTCAGATAAACTCTCAACTGGTTCAAAGGAATGATTCCTTTAACAGCTCCAACCTCTTCGTAGATATTGGGATATGCGTCTATTGAACCAGTGAACTGCACGTCATTGCCTTCTGACCGTATACCCAATAAGACATGCACTTCCTCACAGGTGAGCCTCAGGCGATGGCCATGAACAGTCAACGAACACGTGTCGGGATCGAAGTTCTGTACCAACCATTGGCACATGTTATGATCTATACGGGTACACTTTAACCCCAGGAGGCCACCGAACCCAATATCAATGACTGCCTGCTTTTGTGCTTCGTTACACCGGTTCACGATATCAAAAATTGCCTTCAATGATATGCGGACTTGCATTTTACTCTGCAATGTTATTAACGTGAACATTAATACAAAAAAGTAACCAACATTGTGTCGATAGCAGGTCCTCCCCAAATGCAGTTACGAAAACACTAAGCACGTAAGTACCTTTGCAGATTTCTTTGCAACTTCTTCGCCCAGTTCCTTGGCACTTGCCTTAGCCATGTCCTGAAACCTCTTCTTCTCATCACAGGGGAGTTCCTTCCACCTTTCCCCAATATCCTTTCGGCTCTGTAAGTGTTACACCAACGTGACGCACATACAGGACAAATAGGAGCTGTAAGTCCAAAATAATTGTCAGCAAAAGTTGTATCACTCGCAATGTGTGCACATTTTCTGGTATTTACATATGTTTGCACATACAAATTACTATTTCGCACACAGTTGAAATAAAAACGGACATGGAATTTTACAAATAATCAGAGTTTATAAGGACATGCAATATGGCTTCTATGACTGCTGGAAATCGCTGAATGCGACACAATAGAAGCACATGACTGGTGTGTGCACGGAATAGAAGTCCATACTTTGCTATCACAGCAGTCACGTGTTTCCATCACGGTACTCTACTTACTACATGTCTGCACACTAACCATATTCGGTCCGGGGTTGTCTGCTTCTCGTCCTTCCTTGAATTGTTCCTGGCTGCAACCATTGTCAATTTCGGCGCAAGTATATGTTAGATATGGATGGATATATATACATATATGTACACAATTTGTGACACAAACAAATTTGGTCCCAACTACATAATAATGCATCCGTAATGTCCAATTTTGGTTGCTAAAAATATAATAACCACATCATTTCTCATTCTCAACAATTATAAATGGTCCAAATTATGTTGGCCCTTACTTTTGGTCTCTAAAATCTTAATTTCTTGTGAGTACAAACTGAAATCTGCACAGGCGCAAGCTATGAGTTCAAAATATGTAATGCAGAATTGTGCAAAAATACTGTCACACGTTTCTGACCAGAGGGATTCGTACTGTGAATCGCTTTGAAGGACACGGATCGAACCTGTAAAAAATAAATGGCCCAAGTGGCCGCTTTCGACGAGGGGGCTCGGTAATGTCAACCCTTTCCATTCCTGAACCTTTGCCACTTGCCTTCAATGTTTTCCTTTGCCTGTAACAAATATCAGCGTAAATGAAATTTTGTTCAAGGCCAAATTACATCGGTGGTATGTACGTTTTGTGCATCCTATTATCTTCGTCGGTTAACTTTAAAGTTAGTCAATCTTGCCTTCCCATATCAAAAGTTGTGCCATTTTCGTGAAATTGGTAACGTCGTTTTCCATTGTCACCGAAAATGATGAACTGAAGTGGTTTAGTATAACTCAGTGAATTATGGATTTCACAAATGCTCTCCGCAGAATACGCGACATGTGCCGTATGTGCACATATTCTGGTAAGAAATCGACACAGTTTTAATCCATTACACGAAATTCATGGTGCAATTTGAGGCTATCGCAAATGTGTCAAACTCAAATCGCACAACCTCCTGATGGCAGTACATAACGGCACAATATGCCATACACGAACAGACCGTGGTGTTTAGTAGGTACAGGAAACATAACCTTGCAAACCTAACTGTATCAAATACTGAACGACATAAACTCACAGTTGCTTCGCATTGTCTGACATGTCGCCCATATCCAATTACGATAATTCCTGCAAAGAATTGCATGCAATATTCATAAGGATGCAAAAAGAACGTTACTCCTAAATTGTAACAAAATGAAATTGACTGTTAACAACTTACATTCAACGGACCATTGAGTCATACGTGCATTGTACGAGTGGTACTTTTCGTTTATTTTCAACTACGATATGTTGTCGTTAATTTATGCAGATTTGGCATGCCACTGTTTTACGAAAATTAATTGGCCATATGTTGTACTCGTTTTTATAGTATTTACGACTTCAAGCCCGAATCAACAACCAATGCGCACACTTGAAACAGGGCCACATCGGACATTCAACCCAACAGCACCCATACGCAACTTACCTTCATGCAGAGAAATAAAAACCCGACTACACTGCTCAACGAAGACCGTTTGTCACTTTGGAACTCGTCAATGGCAATATCAGTTTGTCACCCGTGTAGTTTGTATACCTAATCGTACGTATGGTTTCAATGACCTAAGGAGGAACAGTTTAATAGTTCAGAAATGGTAATGTCGTGCGAGTGGAACACAGTAGGTCATCATAATAATGTGCTCCGAAAAAAAAAAATAGACTGACTCACACATGGCCGAGAAAATGGTGACTGTTACCGTCGGCGACCTGGCGCGGTCAAAATGGAGACACAGAGAGAGAGTGTGTTACTGGAGGTGGACAGCAAAACCGAAATGGACAGAGAAGGAGGGACACCAAAGTAGCCGAAATTTGTATGGGAAATGGAAATGAGTTGGTGAGATTAGAAAGGCTACGGCATGTGTGTCATCATGAAAAGTACTGCATCTGTGGGATTTCAAAAGCGCTGTCTGGCGACTTTGGTTTTTGTTC